CCACTGAGCACCCAGGCCTGGACACATGGCTGACACACCATGTTGGTCACAAGCATCAGCGGTTTATTAATTGTTACGCTGCACTTTTATACTTTGCTCGCCTGTCCACATGCCTTTCGCTTCCTTCCTACTGGTTAACAGCTTCTCTTCACACATTCTATCTTATTCTGCAATAGGCTACAAGCTCCTTATATTTTCTTACAAGAATGTCAACACACATCCTTATCTCACATACTTTCTCTCCCTCAAACTTGTTTATCTCTTAACCGTCAAGGGCACAGCTGTAGTTTGCTGAGATCAAGGCCACCTGCAGCCCGTAGCTGATCGCCACAAAACACAGTACCTCTCCCAAGCGTGTGAGAATTGGTTTGTTGCACGCTGGGCATGAAGCCACTTTTTGGACAACACCATGACCTCCTGCTGGAGATTTCAGCTTCAAACAAGAATCCGTTCTTCTTTATTCAGAATGGCTGTTATCCCCTTTTACAGAACCTTACCACTTCTCACCAAGAAACCTGTCTATGGTGCAAATTTAAACATCACAACCCAGCCTGGGCAACCCAAGTCTGAAAGGAAGATTGGATCCAGCCACTCACTTCTGAGAGAAGGAATTTAAAAAGGGGATCTGAATCTCCCTGGGTTTTCCAGTCTGAGTCATGACACCGTTGTCCACAGAATCTGTCATTTCACCATAAAATGCCTTCAGGTTGGTGATTTACCCTTTCTAAATTAATGCTGTTTCAACTCACCTTATCCTTACTGCACTTGGATAGTCATTGTTTTATAGCCTTCCCAAAGAAATGGGTCAGGCTGGCTGACAAGTATCTTGTAGTTCTGTGAGTCATCTTGTCTTTGAAAACGGGTGGCAAATGACATTTATCTTTTTCCAGTTATCAGGAACCTCATCCATGGCTCTCTTGGGGCACAAAGGCAAGAACGATCAAGTGGTAGCTCTTCCCACTGATGTCAGTTATTCATTGAAATAAGTAAATTGGGGGGGGGGGAAAAATCACATTTCGGGAAAATCACATAAAAAGAGCACATAACGGACATGCAGATGAAAAACAGGGCCTACATAACAGTGAAACAGTAACAATTAGACAAAAACAGATTTTAATTAAGAGAAAAACACACCCCAAGAAGTCAATAGCCCAGCAAGACACCTGCTAGACAGACGAAAGGGATGGAAAGGAGCACTCCCCACAACTTACCTTGCTTACAGCTTTGAGCACTGAGTGGACAAAACATTGAGTAACTGAAATAACTGTGTTGATATATTAATGAGCTACGAGTATACCAAGATACACACCCACAGCCTAGAGGGAAACCCACTAACAAGCCCCTTATTCTTTGAGCATGTGTAGTGAAATTCTTGAGCCTTGCCACTTCAAATGGAAGCAAGGAATGAGCAGACCAATCATGTATCATGAGCGATAGAATATTAGAGATAAAGTTCTCCCATGTGTTTTTGGCTATAAAAGTAGCACCTGTGTTTCAGGAAACTGAGTTTGCTTTGTGGAATACCCCTCAGCTGTCTTGTCTGTGCAAACTGGATATTAAAGCAAATCTCTCAACTCTGTGTGGATTGGCTTCTGGCACACTGGGTAACAGACCCTGCTTTTTTCTTCAGAAGAAATGAAAGTTTCTTCTGGAGGGAATGGGAAGAAGAGAGAAGACAGACATCAAGAGGATAGGATATTGCACACCCAGATCCTACAGTTCTGTATCTGTCAGCAAGGACCAGAGGCTCCATAAAGGCTAGGGGCCAGAACCTGAGTGAGATACAACTGACATCAGTACCACGACGGGCAAGGAAGGGACCCTTACTACATGAGGCCTCATCCCCACCACACCCAAGCAAGGCAAACAGGACTGAAAAGGTAACCACGGTCAAGCCAGAGTTCAGATCACCAGACAAGCTTGTAGTGATGAAGGAGGGACAATGTGAAGCTGGGAAGACAATCTGCAGGCCAGGATCAGATCCACTGACTGTCAGGAACAGTCATAATTGACAGGCAGCTTTATAGTAATAAGATATGTTTCAGAATCACAGAATGTTAGGGGTTGGAAGCAACCTCTGATTATCATGTAGTCCAACCCCCCTGCCAGAGCTGATTCACCTAGAGTATGTTGCACAAATGGCATCAAGACAAGTTTTTTATGTCTTCAGAGATGGCTACACCACAACCACTGGGCAGCCTGTTCCAGTGGCCTGCCACCCTCAAACTAAAGAAGTTCCTCCTGAGTCCTGGCAGAAAGAATGTTCATGGGTCATGGTCTGGATCCATGGGCAATTTCCGTGCTCACACACAGGCATGACTGTAACAGAGCTAGAGACAAACTTCGAATGTCACTCAGGCAGGGACTGAAGCTCCAGCTTGATCTTACATGGAGTTCCTGAGCAGGAACCCATGAGCAGGTGGTGTTTGTGGAGGTCACTCATATGGATGGTCAGGATCATTAAGACCTATTAGTGCTCCCAGAACCATGTCAGGATCCATGGTTTGTACAAGGTAACCCCACTGGTGACATTCATATTACAAGTCCTTCAAAGTACAGGCAAAACGAAGACAATGGGCTCATGTCACATCCATGATGGGTATTTCCAGTGCTAGTAAATGTCCTCATGCTCACATTTGTCAGCTCACTTCAAGAAACATGGCATTAGTTTTTTCACAGTGGGCACATCTAGGTGGATGTCAGCATCTTGGCTGTCGAAGGCCAAGGGCTTGCTGTAGTATCATGGCTTCAGTTAACACCATAAGTAGCAGGAGAAATGGCAACTGAATAAGAGCATCTGATACAGTCCTCCTAGTATGCAGGTACATGCAGAAATTACACAGTAAGTGCAGCACAGAGTAGAAGCCAGCAAGTACTTTAAATGCAAAAACTTAAAAGGATAGCTACTGAGCCAGCATGTGAACCAAGCAGAAAGGACAGGGCAAATCTATCCCCAAACTCCATAGCCATATGCTGTTAGCCATAGATAAGCAGTGCAGGCACACATCACTGTGCACGCATCGTCACAGAGCACTGAGAAAGAAGATACAAGAGAAGAAGATAGAGCTGTATCCACTGAGACTCAAAATTAGCATTCTCTCTTACTGGGTACACAGAGTCAGTGAGTAAACTTCTGCAAACATTTAGAATCGTCGTGGATCAATGGATTGAATAATTACCTATTGAAAATAATTCACTCAAGCATTTAAGACAGCTTCATCTATCATAATGCAGAACAAAACCCAAAATAAGTTCTTGACAGGAACTATGTGTAGTTTGCACTGGGTACACTGAAGGCTACAATTAATCTTCCTTAATGCAAAACTTCCAAGAAAATGCAAAATAAAACCTCAGTCACCAACATCATTACAAACTTCTCTAGTGGCAATACTCCCCACAAACTAATAGTTGGGCATCCACCCAGAAAAAAATATCCAAGGTATTAGGACAGTTGTGCTAGACAGGAAGGAAGTTAAAAACCTCTCAAATAGTTCTTACCTTTGAGAGAAGAAATTATGGAGACTTATTTTTAATTCAACATACAGATAGAACTAGGAAATTATAATGTTATGCTGCACTGGGCAATTATTTCCGAGATGTCTACAAACACACATCTTCAGGAAAGGAGCAGGAGGAAGAGAACAAAGAGGAGTAGTGAAGGACTGAAAGCTTTTGAAGTACTCATGCCAACTAATTCCCAACTCCAAGTCAGAGCAGGGAAAAAAATCAACCAACCAACGGAAAAAAAACCCAAACATGCTGAAGAAAAAAATATTCCTGATCCATTTCTAGTAAGTAGATGCTGTTACTAGAAAAAGCCTGGACTCATGTTTAAGTTCTCAGTTGCAACTATGAAACCTATTAAGAAAGAAGATCTGACACTTCAAACTAAAAAAAAATTAAAAAAAAAAAATAAATGACAAGGCATAGCCTTCAAAAGTTTATTTCAAGTACAAAAAGTGTTCAGTGAAATATCTACAGTTTTTACTTTCAGTATTAAGGTTTAAACAGATAGAAAGAATTAAGTATCAACTCTTCTTTAAAAAATACGATTCTCTTAAAAATTTTGAACAGCAATGAAAAGGCACTAAAACAAAACATAACGAGCAACAAACAGAACGCTTATGTCACAGTGAACATGTAGTCAAAGATTATCTAAAACTTTATATATGAAGAATTAATTAGTCTAGTTTAAGTGAGCAACATAGTCCACGTACGAGTGAATTCAAACTCCCTGCACTTCAACAATTTCATTCTTCTTTCAAGTGTAAAGAAAGCAGAAAGAGCAAAACAAGAGAAGTCTTCAGTCAACTATTAGTTTACAGCATTGTCTCCAGATGAAGAACTCAGAATTCAATTTGTACAAGTTCTACAAAAAGAAATGTAAGAAAACTGGGTAGCAGCATAAACACTTCACGGTATCCCCTGATCTGTATGTTTGAGGGTTTTATATTTGTATTCCCAGTTAAAAAATAAAATATATTTTTCCACAAAAATAGAAAGACTTGTTAGAAGCAGAAGCAGATTAGCATATGAAGAAAATAAATGCTTGGGAACACACTGCAATTCCTTTCCAGTAGGAATATTTTTCCACTGCCAGCAATGGAAAGCAACACAAGTAGATGTTTTCTGGAATCAGAAAACAAAACAGACTAAGACAATTTAAATGAGTTGGAGTTTTTTTTGGTCATGATTCTACTAAGTACTCTATCTTAAAAAAAAGTAATAAAATTCAAACATGCCAAAAAGAAACAATATATTTGACAATGGCATTTTCAGCACCAGAGCTTTTTTGTGCAATATATAGAGAATAAGATTTCAATCATTCACAAATATGAGGCAAATGGGACAAAAGTTGCGAACATAAAAAAAAAAATATTTTATTTTTTTACAGTTATTTAGAAATAAAGAAAAATTAAGTAAACAGGAACAAGCATTTTAGTGTTGGTATTATTTTTTCCCCAGTGACACTGAATAGAATCTATGACACAGGAGTGCTATCAAGGCTTTTGCATCTTTTTTTCCAGGTACATTTTCCTGTAGGTCTGAAACATCTCTTTTGAGTCTTTGATTGGAATGGGAAGAGCCTCACCATCTCCATCCAGGATCTGTATAGCTTTATCAAGTGGAATACTGTCCTCAGCTGAAAGACAGGCAGAGAAGCAGGTTAAAGGAATAACTGTTTCAAATCACTCTTGTTAACATGTGGCACATAAGGCGAGCCATTGTCAAAAAGGACTCCACAAACTTCCTGCCTAAAGCACTGGGAGCATCAGGTTTAAATCGCTCTCCAAGGCATCTTTAAGCACCAAGTGGTCATTTGGTCTTTATAATGTAGATTTCTAAAGAATATTAAGAAAGATGTGAATTAAAATGTGCATTTGTCAAAGTAAGAGAAGAAACAAGAGGAAGGGCTAAAAGACTGGCAGAAACCAATAGCCAAGGACACATTGAACAGCAATAAAAGATGTAAACATTGAAAAAAGTGTCACTTGCATCAATACCACAACATAACTTGTTAGCAGAAGATTTGCACTCTGGTAAGAGGCTGACACCCAGATTACAGCATGCTGAATGCAGTTTTGCTTCCTGTTAGACCAGCAGGAAAACAGGATTATAAGCTAGAAAGATACTGAAGCAAAGAAACAAAGACAGCAAGAAGCAACCCCACCCAAGGTTTACACAGGATGGAACAACCAAGATCACAAGATTAAGGATGCCACAGTTCTAACTGTTTACTCCTAAAGGGTACAAGAGATGAAAGATGCCATGGCTCTAACTGTTGACTCCTAAAGGGCACAAAAGGCCATCCAAGAAGTAATTTGCCAATTAAGAGAAACAAGGAAGATGTAGCAATGGCACTACCTCACCTCTGTGTGACATACAAGGAATCCTGTCTGGACTACTGGGACACATTCAGAGTATGGGACAGTGTGTGGGACAGTACGGGACTATATGTGGAAAGTGTCAACTTACTATGAAAGCCAAATAAAATCTTAAAATCACTTTGTTTTTATAGTCTCACACTAGATTTTGCTATGTCACTTCCTACATTTTGAAGTGGGAAAGACCTAGCTTGACCTTTACCTAGTTTAAAACTATACTTGAACCCTGTGACCAGTGCTACCTCCATTTCAGCTGTACACATGTACACATGAAAATTCCAACAAGCTCCAGCAACACATTCTTATGGCAATAATAATCACCACAAATCTTTGAAACTCACATCTAACACTCCACAGTATCCATTTCAATAACAGAGCTAGTAAACAGTAAGTTAAAATACTTTATTAAGATTTGCTGCTGTAAACAAAACACTTAAAACCAAGGAAAAAGCAACTTGTATTTCAAAATGGATTATCAGAAGCCATGTCACCTGTAGAGATGCCATCCAGCTTTTTTTGCTTCACTGGATCATACTTTAACCAATCTTCTTTTTTACTCTTGACACCTAGAGAGAAAATTTAAATATTTTTGAGGGTCCCATCTCATGAGTTTTTATCTCCATTCAGCATTGAGTTTTAATATATATACTAGCACACATGAAAGGAAATTTCCTTTGGGTATGTGAAAACTACTTGCAGGGCCTGGTATGTAAAACTTAAGATCTGGTTTTATTTAAAATCAAGTACAGCATTTGACACATATATGCTTCAGAGCACACCACATAAAACATCAGAAGACTGGAGATAGGGAAGAAGAGGAGGAAAAAAGGCAGCTTAAAGCAAAGGTAGCAAATATTATGGAAACTCTGTGCAGGTTCTGTTGGCCTCAAGCCCCTCTCTCTTTCTCATTGCTGCAGAAGATCTCTCCCTCTGTCTATCTGGCCAGGTTTATAGACAACCAGGTGAACAATGATACACAAATCACTTGAATATAAATCAGATCACCTTTGGTAACCATGCCAAGGGAATCTGCTTTTTATGAACAAGTCATCGTCTACAAGTAGGTTAGAAAGGCTTCTTGTGAAGTTACTTGAAACTGCCATGCTCTGAACTATTCTAACTTTATTTTGTAAAACTTAAATGGAAAAAAAAAAATAGAACACTAATTTGAAGGAAGTGTCTCCTGCTTTTTCAGCCTAACACAGTTTGTCAGAAAGCTAGACAAGCTCTTTCAAACTTCAGCCTCCAGAGGCGCACATTTTCACTGTCTGTAATTCGTGCAACGTGAATTTAAAAAGTAGTACATACTTTTTACTTGCAAATTAATTTACTTCCAAAATAATAATAATCAAGATAGCATCATACCTGCCACAGTGGCTTTCTCTCTTTCCAGGGAATCCTTTGCTGCTAAGCTTTCTTTATCAGTGGTCGGATTTCCGAACAGTATCTCCGGACACAGCTTAAATTCAAGTACTTCTTGTTTGCATGATTTTTCAGCTTCTGAGACAGATGCATCTCTTTTTGCACCTGGGCTGTTTTGTGACACTTTGGGCTTCATATGCCAGGTGGACCGGACAGGTGATGTCTCCAATTTTGTCAGATATATGCGTTCCTGTGCCATACGTTTAAATGCAACTCTGTTCAAGTAGTGTTTTTTTGGCTCCTTTTGAAGGTGTAATTTCAATCTGTTATGTCTTCTATTTAAGTATAGCAGGTTTTTATCAGGAAATGTTTTCTCTGTGTATTTGTCTTTGTTTTGACCATCAAGACGTCTCTCTTTGTTAGAAAAGTAGGTTTTAGACATGGTAGAAGATCGAGCTCTTTTTCTCTGTAGTTTAAGCACAGAGCGATCTGCTAACGAACTCTTTGGTTTCCAGCCATTTTCTCCATTCAATTTTTTAGCTTTGTCAGTATTTAACAAGCAGTGATGTGAAAGCTGCTTGGAATTCTTTTCTTCAGATTGTTTTGGTCTTTCCTCTTCCACCTTTGTTTTCTTAGGGTCTCTCTTGCTGATCATATTTTCCTTCCTCTTCCGCTTGTGTGACTGCTCCTGTGAAGAATGAACTTTCATAGATTTATGCTGGGAACATTTGTGTTTTCTGGCCTTTAAGTCAATAGTGCCAACATTTGGGAATTTTATAGCATCAGCATTATAACTATGCAGCTTTTTATGTTTTATTTCTGCTGACAATTTGGCTTTCTCTTTGATTTTAATTCCTACCTCTTGCCCAAGTACCTCCTTTTGTTTCCTGCAGCTCTGTTCTTCAGCTGAGTTCTCTTCACAGGTTTTAACTTTTTGTCCTTGATTGACATCAGTGTGTTTAATTTCAACAGTTTCTGACTTCATAAATTTGTGAATGTCTGTTTTGGATTTCATGGTCAAACTTGTTTTGGTTTTATCTTTTGAAAGGGATTCCATTTTGAAAACTCTCTTTTTCTTTTTGGATGCTTTTGTTGTACTGTCTGCATCTGTACAACTAGCCTTCTCTGACAACTCTTCTGATACTGCCTGATGTTCTTTTTTGTCAGAATGAAATTCTTTGCCTAACAGTGGGGCTCCACCGTTGATCTGCATCTCCTCCTTCCAGCTGCTCCTTTTAGATTTGTCAACATCATGGTTTCCAGAGAAATTCAGTGGTTTCTTTTTTTCCTGTTGTGTTGTAAATGGTTTATTATTCACCTTTAGCTTAGGTTTTTTGTTCGTTACAGAGGTGTCTTTGCAAATAACTTTTTTATTTTCACTGACACTGTCTGGGATTTTTTCAGGAATTGGCAGGTTTCCCACTGCACAGTCGTTCTTCATTACAGCATCAGATTCACTGCTGTTTTCTTGTCTCTCTGCAGTGCTAGTATTTTCAGCTTTGGAAAGCTGATCAGAATTTTTCTCTGAAACAGATGTTGCAAATGTAGAGGTGCTCTGTGGCATCTGACCTGCTTCAGACAGCAAATCCATTAAAGAACAATCCTTATTATTTGTGGGGTTCGAGGAGTTTTGTGTTGTTTCTTCCTTCTCACATGGACTCTGAGTCAGTTGAATACTGCCTTCAAGGTTCTCCTTCTCAGCTGAAGATTCTACCGACTGTTGACACTCTAGGCTCTTGCTGTCACTAGAGGAACACTGGTTGTGTTCAGGAAACACTTCTTTCATCTGATCAGAGCTTAACACTGCAATTTTTATCTGAGCTACTGGGTCCTTCAAAGGAGAACTCTTCTCACAAGTTGGATTCTCTTTTTGAGGTTGATTCTCCGTTTGCTCAGCCAGAGCATCTTTTTGTAGTGGTTCTTTTGTTAGCATATCAGCACCTACAATGCCATATGGAAACTCTTTCATTAGTTCAGACAGCTGATTGTTTAGACAGTTAATTGGTTCCGCTCCAAAAAGGGTCCTGTCTTTTTCAGTGCAATTTTTACTGGACATGTAATTTTGTTTACTGTTAACTCTTGGAACAGTAGATGCATTTGTTTCAGCACTTATGCTGACTGAGAAATCTAGTGAATTTTTAGCTAATTCCTGGTTTATACTAGCAAGAATTTCAAAGTCATTTTCAGGATGCTTAAAAGAGGCATTGAACGACATTTTCTGTTCTGAGGTAGAAATTGTTTTATGAGGATTGCTACTGCATTCTTTCTCCGAATGATCAGTTGGGATTCCATCCAAATTCTTACTTACTTTACTCATGCTACTTGGTGATTCTTCCAACATCTTTTGCAGCAAACTCTCTCTTTGGGGAGCCCTACTGCTCAGCTCATTTTGATGCAAGTCCAGCTGTTGCTCCTTTTGCCTTGGGTTAGATGCATTTCCTTCTGATGAGGCACCATTCAATGCATGTGCCTCAGGGATTGACCTGAAGATACTTGCTATCTGTGGATTATAAAACATATCACCTTCAACAAGAGAACAGACGCTAGAAATACAAAATGTCTGTTCTTCTAACACAGCTTCCTTGTCTTTACCATCTCCTCTACCTTCTTGAAAGATTTGACTAGAAACATTTGTCTCCAATTCAGGAAGAGAAGGCTTGTTTCGTAATTCAAGCTGCGGAGTTTCTCTGGCATCTTGTGCAGACTGATTAACTTTCCTTTGTTTTTCATCATATGAATTATTTGCACTCACACTGTTTTTTACTATTCTGTTCTCATCAGCTGGTTTGGTCTGTTGCAAATGTGAGTCCACTTTCTGTACCAGAACACAGTCCCTGGGTGACAATTCAACAGTTTCTGTTGTTTCTTCATTGGTATTTACCACACTTAAACTATTTTTCTCCTCCTTTTGCAAACTACATGTGCTTCCTGGGGCAATCACTGGATAGGTTTTACCTGCAGATGTTGGACATCTGTCTGCCTGATCACTCTGTGTTCTCTGCTCAGAAAGTACTAAAGGAGAGACAACCGCAACTTGGAGTTCGAAACTTTTTATTGAATTGCAACTCAATGTATCAATATTTTGTCCTACAGAAGCTGCTGTTACAGGCAAAACTGCTTCAGCTGTACTAACCAGAGTATTACTTTGTCCTCTGGTTTTTGTGTTGTTTTGGCTATAAGATGAAATCTGATTTGCTGTGAGACTTTCACTTGACTGGCTGTTCTGCACACTTGCAGGTTCTGACTGATGCTTCCTCCACAAGCCTAGACATGCAGTTAGCTCTTCCACAGAGTAACTATAATTGCTCTGATTAAAAGATGTATTTTCACTGAATGGGGTCTTCCTCTGAGCTACATCACTCTGGAGCTTACCTTCACCAGATTCTCTTTTTTCTGATACAGAAGAGTTTGTGTGAACGGTAAATGCCTGCTCACCTTTCAAACCTTCTACATTTTTCTCACTAGTGCCTTCCACTAAGCTTCCACCAGAGACAGATGTATCTACCACTGATTTTTCACTACACAGGAGATCAGTCAATATTTTATCGGCAGTAGCACCAGCTGTCTTCTCTTTCAATACATTTGTGCTGCTCAATACAAACTGAAAAAATGAGGAGTTCTTGGGGCTAGCTGGCACACTTTTTGATGCAATTTTGATAGAGCTATCTGCTTGACTAAAACATGGAGCACTGTTCAAGGATGTCACCTTTTTCTGAGAAGCCAAAGCATATGGAACCCTTTGTTCTGAGATAGAAGTGCTCTCAGGATTATTGTATTGAGCTGGGAGTTTGCTCTGGGAAGGAATAGAAGCACAGCTTGATGAAAGGCTTGTCTGCTCCACTTGAGGGTTACTCTGAGTCACCGTTAACCCTCTGTTTTCAGTGCTGGCTACATATTTGCCATTTCTCTGTTCAGGCGAAGAGTTAAGTACTAGACTCTCTGTCCTTGCTGTTTCAGATGGGGAAGATGGTACATTTTGGTTAGGTACCTGTGGAAGATGATTATCAGGAGTATCTTTATAACTTGAAGGAAGTGGCAGAATGCTTCTGTCATGTTCTGAGGCTGCTAAGAGTCTTCTTCTATAGCGATGCACCTTTTCAAGCAGGGCAAATTTTTTTTTAATATCGAGTAGCCTTTGAGCTTCCCAGGCTAGTCTGTGCCTTGTAAGTGTTTTTCCACCTGCTGCTACTGAAGAAATTTGAGAATTAACAGGTCCATTGACTGAATTACTAGTCTGAGTTTCTTGAACTTGAGCAGGATCACTCGGTGGCTTTGAAACAGCCACTGAAGGAAGAGTTTCTTGCACTGTATCATACAGTTCTTTGGAAATGTTAGGAGATGGCACAGATATTTCATTAAAAGGGTGATGTGCTGTCACATTTCCACTTGAATTCGAGACATGCATAAATGACTGACTAACTTCTCCAAATTGCTGTTTCTGACAGTTTTGCTGAACACTGTTAAAACCAGAAGCATTTGTTAGGTCTGGCGGGCACCTCTGTTGGCTAATGGTGTATCCATTGGGTGCATTTTGACCCGCCTGTGGTACACCTATTGAAGGTTGTACTGCAGCTCTTGAATCACAGTTGGCAGGTAAAAAAGATGGTGCAGAACATCCGCTGGAAGCTTCCGATGCCATCTGACTTGGTAGGTATTGTAGCAGTGGTACATTTGCTTCAGTGTTTTGATTCACTGAGTGTAAAACTTTAAACTGATTGTTGGGATTATATATTTGGGTTTGAACATGTTGCCCAGATATACCAAGAGGCACAGAATTATTTGTGGAATGACTGTTACTTTGACCTAATATTGTAGTTGTCATAGAACTATGCTGTGGTACAGAGTAACTGTTTGTGATGACATATTGAGGTTCTCGAAGTACATTTCTCGTGTTATTTCCAGTGTTCATTTGAGAAGACAGGGGAGGTACCTTTCTATGTGAATAAATGTAGGCATTAGAGTTTGGCCAAGAAGCCTGAGACGTCTGAGACATCTCTGCCCACCCATTAGATGGTTTTGGAGCAATTGGTACAAAGGACAGTGAGCTTCGATCCACTGCGTATTTAGATTTTAAAAAATCATTATCAGCTACAGATACTCTTGGTAACGCCTGATCTGAACTTCTGAATCCTTCAGCATTTGCAGGAGGGAAGGTAACATTACTAGTTGGTAGATACGCCCTTTGGTTATTTCCGGCATAAGTGCATGCATTTTTAGATAAATAGGCATTTGTCTGAGGAAAAGCATGTGCATTAGAAAACAACTGAGTGTAACATGCTCCTTCGCTTTGTAGGTTCTTCTTTGCATCATTGTTCTGGGATGGTCTTGTATTCCAGTCCATCTTTTTGTGATTTCCTTTTCTTCAGCCAAAAACCAAAATGCTATAAAACAAACAAAAAAAATCCAGTCCTAAATGTTTTGATCAAAACCTATTTCACTTACTAAGAAGTGATTTAGAATGCATTATGAACAGAAGTGACAAACTTAAATTGCTAGCTAAAAGAGCTACTCCACTGGCACATCCTATGGACGTGAAGGCTGTCACTGTCAAGCTGCAAAATTTATTTCCCAGAAGACAGTTAACCTAGTGTTTTCCCAAATTATGCTTTGCCAAATGGACACGGTCAGCACAAACGACAGAGATGCCCAATTAGAGAAGTTAGCTTATCTTTAGTGACTGACATTAAAAATAATACAATAACCACACTAAAGAGAAATACACACTTATCTGCTGAGAGAAATACAACAAAACTAAAATTCTATTGCAAAGTAAAAGCAAAGCACGACAATGCATCTAATCATTACAACACAAGAACAGCTGTAGTCATTAAGAAAAACACATCACCAATTGCCCTTAATACATCACAATTATCCAGGTCCACAGTCACTGGGGAGCCCTGGGTGCAACAAGGATCTGGAGAGCCCTTCCCAGCAATTGAGAAATCCTACACAGTGCATCCACTCGTAGGTGAGGTCTCCAAAGTTCACTGCAAGAGGGTCCAGCCTTTTCAATACCAAGTCAGCATGACTTGCATATTTCTTCGTGCAAAGACATCTGGTGTTACGCCTCCCAACCAACCAAGACCAGGGCATGGCCAGAGCCCAGAATGAGGTCAGCAGTTACCTAAAATACCTCATCTAGACATTCTATCAGCATAAGCAGTATTTTGGTAGTCAATTGCACAACATAATGCAAGAAATTCCTAAAATACCTGGTTTGGCGCCAGCATGAGTGGTTTGTGGGTGGTAAAATCATGGGTATGTTTAAAATGATAATTACAACCTAGCACAATACCAACTAGCACAAAGGTCATTAACTACAAACTATACAGGGTTCACCTGTACGAATTTTTTTATGTCATCTGTGGCTTGGGCCTATTGTCCAAGCCCTAGCACTTCAGGTACATAAAGACAGAGCAGCAACTAGTAACTATTGACTGTCTAATGAGTAACACAACCCTCACATTATTCTAATTCTATTGTCACCCAACTTTTAAATTTAACAATAGGTTGCTATATTTAACAAGCATGTCCTTGAATTAGATAACTGCTGAAGAAATTTAAGACATTTATAAGTTCCAGAAACATGAGTGAGATATGTAAACAAGGCTAAGATGCCAACTAGCAGTAATGATAAAAAACTTGCTAAACAAAGGAGAAACTTTGACTACATGCAACACACAATTAGCCAAGAGTAAAACCCGATTAATGTCACCATAAAAAAGAGGAGTACAACCCTTACTTCATCAACATTATTAAGAAAACTAAGTTTGCAACCATAATCACTACTTAAAAGTTCTATTTGGCAGAAGTCATCATGTCTTAGGAAGAACATTTGAGAAGCTCAGTATCAGCACAAGACCCCAAAAGACTAAGACAAGACTATTCCCCACACATGCCTGCTTCACCCCTTTACCTACTTTCTCACCTTGACCACAAGCCTCAGAAATAATCAGCAACTATTACACAGGTAACCGTCAATTTTTTTTCAATTCTGGTGCATAGAAAGGGAATAGAGAGATACACCCACTGAACACAGGAGCAATGGCAAAGCTCTTAAAGAAATCTATCATGAGACTAAAATGCCTACACCTAGACTTCTCTATCAGGTAGTTTTACTAAACTCTTACATAACATCCCTGAATCACTCTATGGAGATGCTTCACATTCACCTCACAAAGAGATCTGAGGGGAATTTGGACCACCTATATAAAGACCAGTACATTCAACTGTTACAGGTTTCTATCCTAGCAGAAAAGGAACAATACATCCACACAGTGGAGGCTACATCTCCTTCCGTTTTATAATTGCCTTAATCTACCCAAAGCATCTGAATTAATTTCTCATAGGAAAGATCTCAATTTTTATTGGAAATCTATGTGATTATTTCCTCCTAGAGGCCCTCCTCTAGGAAATACATACAGAGGAAAATAAATTAATCCTGAAATACAGAATAAATTGTTACAGTCTTCTGAACTATTGGATTGCATAAGACATTCCTGCAAAGATATAATATTTAATGCATTGAACACTGTAACTTAACATTAAAGTCTGGACACCTGCTCCCTGGAGCCAGAAAACACCTGAACAGGGGAAGCACATGCAGAGTATGAGACTCAGCAATGTATATAAATGTATATAAACTCGGCATATCAAAGTCAACTCTGTGGAAGATCCTGTGACCACTCTGGAGCAACAGCCGTCAGTAGACCTCACTGCTTTTCAAAAGCATTTACATTTAATTCATCCAAGTCCACTGATTAGGAGGAAGCTAGCACCTACCATCAGCAAAACTTCTTATTTATAAGTGTGACAGTCAACATAGGGCTAGCCTCCTTCTAGTTGCCTATCAGAATAGGTCCATGGGAGCTCAGCTCCTCTGTTGTAACTGCAGTACAGCTTGTGGTAGGTTGATCTCAGCCAACAGCCACGCATTCACGCAGCCACTCACCTCTAGGCAGGACAGGGGAGAAAACTGGAAGAACAAAAGGTGAAAAAACTCAAGGGTTGAGCACAAAGGACATTACTCACCAATTTCCACAAGCAGACCAATGCCCAGCTAGTCTGAGCAACGGCCACCTTGGAAGCCAAACCCTGCTTCTTCTTCTACATGTTTTTATAGGTGAGCAGAATATTATACTGAATGGAATATCCCTTTTTGCCAACCTGGGTCAACTGTCCTGGCTATGTCCTGTCCCAGCCTCTTGCCCACTCTCACCCCACTCACTGGGGGAATACAGTAGGAAAGAGGAGGCCTTTATACTGTGCAAGCACTGCTCAGCAACTGCTAAAACACTGGTAGTTACTAACACTGTTTTAACCATATACCAAAACCCAGCACCATGGAGCTGCTGTGAAGGAAATTAACTCCATGCCAGCTACATCTAGTTCAGGGCTGCAACAGTGAAGTAAAGCTCATGCCTGATACACTTTATTTAGAACTGCTGTTTTGTGAGTTTTAGACAGCAGATACTTGAACTAAGGACTCATCTTTTTCCCTGACATAGCCACTTCCATGCTGATCAATCCACTGTCATGTGCTGAAGGCATTAAAACTATAGGCCACTATAAATTGATCCATGTACTCCAGCACCATGACTGCCCTGGGACAAGGTGGTGGAGAATGCAAACAGCACTAAGGCTCTCCTACAACAATCTTCCCAAACAACATGAGTATAAATTAATTAATCAGGGACATAAATAGTAAGTAGTGCATGGCATAGAAACCAACGTGAATAAAAGTACTCAATTTGCTTCAAGTTTGCAAGAGGATGATTTAAATGTAAGGGTTAACCTATAAACATAGTACTTATTTCCATGCATGTATTGAGCCTTGCCTGTAAGTACATAATGACCTAGGCTTGCTCTGTGTGTTTTAGCTGGCCAAAGCAGATCTGGCTTGAACCTGGAGGCAACTGCACATGGCATCACATTCAAACCAATATGCTTTGTTGATAATGGTTCTATGCATTTCACTTACCTGTGAAAAGTTAAAACTGTGTTTTGAGCTCCTGCTTTTTTTTTTTTTTCTTAAATCAAACTGGACATAAAAGCTTATTTATATATACATACAAAAAACTAGGACTATAAACTAATAATAAGCATCTTCAACTTAACTGAGAGTATCTTCAGTTTAATTTCTGAGTTTACTCAGGTAAACAGTTAACATGAAAGCTCAGTAAAATGGTATTAGAAGCACCTCTCTCTAGACATTACTCCTACTTGTAGGTCTTGTGCATGTGACTAAGTGTGGAGAACCAGCTCAGCAGCCTGAGACTTCTGCAAGGCAAGGTCATTCGAAGGACAAGTGATGTGGCAAGGCCCACCACCAGACAAATGCTGAGAGAGCTGGATAATCCATAGCTTGGATAGCGGGATAATTATCCTATTAACTCTTGGATAATGTACTCTAGTAACTTCTGACTCTGTCCAGGGTATTTGTATGATGATCTAATACATATTTGGAGATATTTGGGAAACAATATATCTATCTAGAATACTTATGTAACAAACTAATAGATACTTGGAAAACAACACATCTATTCAGGATATTAGTATAACGAACTAATGGATACTTGGGAGATTCGGAGACTAATAAATCTATCTGGGATATTTGTGTAATGAATGAATGGAGATTTAGGAGAGTAGTAAATCTTGTAACTAATATTTGCGGTTGGTAAAAATAAGTTATAATAATAATTTCAAATGCTTTTGGATAATTATGGTCTATTATCCCTTGTTTTGTGTGAACAAGACTACCAGGATGTCATACTGTTTCCATCCTACATAAGAAACATTGATCCATGATTAAAACCAGTCATATCACCACGAGTATATGACTCACCCGGCCTTGTCACTTTTGTTTGCCTCAGTGCTCTCACGGCAACTAAGAGCCAAAAAGTGCAAAAATTAAACTGGTGTGAAGAAATAGGTTCAAATGGTGCTGTCACAGTCAGATCCTCTGCTTCTATCTACCCCTTGAAAGAATAAGGTTCCAATGCACAAACTGAGGTTTATTTGGGTACGATACTCATTAAGTAGGTAAAACTTAACCCCACCCTGCAAGTGAGAACTATCTTGCTTCTATTCCAAACTCCTTACAATCTATCTAATAGTTATCAGTCAATTCCCAGGAAAGTATCCTCATCCAGCATCCCAAGTAGGGGGAGTTCATCAAGGTCTGGGCCAGCTGTTCCCCAGTAGTGCTCCAATCTGGCACTCAGGGAGCAGTTTATACACACCCCTCCTCAGTTCTTTCCACAGTCACCACCTAACAGTTTCATTTTGCTGTTGCTGGGCAAACCCAGCCCTACTCAGTTTGGATCATCTCCTCACAGTTGT